ATGGTAAGTTGGGCGGGTAAAAGCGATCCAAGTGTGATTAAATTCCCGGCGCACGGCCTGCCTCGTAGCTCAATCGGGACAGCATTGGCTGCGCAAAAGCGTTCCCCGCTTTCACAATCGGGTCAACTAAATAAGTTGACAGTCCCTTCTTCGAGGCTCGCAGAGCAACGCAAACCTAGTTTAGCCGGATCTACGAAGAGGATAATTGTAACCAGTCGCCACAGCTGGCAGCATCATATGTAATGGCTCATAGACAGAACAACCATATGCAGGGGTTGCATGACACACCATCCTGACAGCACAGGTACCAGCTTGAGACCCAGGCCGTTCGCTGGTGCCTGTTAATAACGTGTATCCTACGTATGCATTACGGGCTGCCTATCGGCAGTTTATTGAATACTACGCGGTTAGCGTATATATCAGAATTTAATGGAACCATAAATTTCGCGAGCGCTCATCAGCTGCATCCACTCGCTACATAAACTGAGTAACGAATGAGAAAAGGATATCCCTTTACAACCTATTCTTTCCATGTCCAATTCACCATTTCCCAGACCAGCGCATTGGCTGGTAAAGGAACTAGAGCCACTTCGCAATAGATTCTCTACATATATACTGAGAAACAGTTTTCAATTTGTCGATGAAATAAGTCATCAAAATATTGCTGGCAAATATATGATATCCTTGGATGTCGAGTCACTGGATGAAACAATTGATAATATTTGTGCATATGCTTCCGAAACTCGCCTGCCCCCTGATATATTACGTGGCTTATTACAATTATGTACAAAGAATGTCCAATTCCTATTTAATGGCCAACTGTATAGACAAGTTGACGGAGTGGCAATGGCTAGTCCTCTTAGTCCTACCTTTGCAGACATATTCATGGGTCGCCTCGAAGAAAAAGTATCTTCAACATTGAAAAGGACAATACTCTATAGAAGATATGTAGATGACATCTTTGTGATTGTTGAAAACATAAAGGAAGCTAAGGAACTACTGTTTACAATGAACAGTTTGCATCCGAAAATGAAATTTATGATGAAAATAGAACGTGAAAACCAGTTTTCTTTCTTAGACGTTCACATGGCCAGACAGAA